ACATCAACGTAAGCAAAGCTTCACTAAACTAAATGGGTGCATTAGTGTGTGTGTGTGTGTTTGTGTGTGTGCGTGCATGCATGTGTGTGCGTGTGCAGGTGTGTGCGTGTGCAGGTGTGTGTGTGTCTGTGTGTGTATCCCAAAATGTGCTCTGTTGGATTGAGATCTGGTGACTGTGGAGGCCATTTGAGTACAGTGAACTCATTGTCATGTTCAAGAAACAGGTCTAAAATGATTGGAGCTTTATGACATGGTGCGTTATCCTGCTGGAAATAGCCATCAGAAGATGGGTACACTGTGGTCATGAAGGGATGGGCATGGTCAGCAATAATAGTCAGGTAGGCTGTGGCATTGCAACGATGATCAATTAGTATAAAGGAGCCCAAAGTGTGCCAAGAAAATGTCTCCCACACCATTATACCACCACCACCAGCCTGAATCAGTGATGCAAGGCAGGATTGACCCATGCTTTCATGTTGTTGACGCCAAATTCTGACCCTACCATCTGAATGTCGCAGAAGGAATCGAGACTTCACAGACCAGGCAACATTTTTCCAATCTTCTATTGTCCAACTTTGCCGAGTCTGTGTGATTGTAGCTTCAGTTTCCTGTTCTTATAGCTGACAGGAGTTAGCCTAGTGAACTAGACCAAATTCTTGCTTTGCAAAGAATGGTCTAGGCATGCTCCATTGGAACCTCAGCAGCTCCTACCAGGACTCTGGCTAGCCAATCACAGCTCTCTAGAGGGGTTTCAAACACATAAAGAGCTGTGATTGGTCCATAATGGTGGGCCAATCATAGTGCTCTATCTGCTTAGTGAACAAATCACAGAGCTTTATCCGCTTTGTGGGCCAATCAGGGCACTCTATATGCCTGGTGGGTGGGATGATGCAACAGAGTGAAACAAGAGTATGTCACATTCATTGGCCAGTGGAATGTGGAGATCATTTGAAAGACAACGGTAGAACCCGCCCCACAACCGAGAGCCGTCAATGGAGCATGGCCAGACTAAATAATACATTTATTTAGTCTGGCTTGCCAGGCTAGACAGGAGTGGCACCCGGTGTGGTCTTCTGCTGCTGTAGCCCATCTGCCTCAAGGCACGACGTGTGTTGCATTCAGAGATGCTCTACTGAAGATTTGAACCCCTTGTTAACTTTTGTTCACATCAAACCACTTCTGGCCTTAAAGCTTCCAGATGGAGCATCAGGATTTGAATCCTAAAGAGGACAGCAGTAGTTCAGGAGGTAGAGCAGGTTGTCCCGCAGTTGGAAGGTTGTAGGCTCAATCCCGACTCCCACCAGAAAATACTGCTGTTGTGTCCTTGGGCAAGACACTTGACCTGCCTTGCCTGCTGGTGGTGGTCGGAGAGACTGGTGGCACCAGTGTTTGGCAGCCTCTCTGTCTTCAGTGAGCCCCAGGGCAGCTGTGGCTACATCGTAGCTCATCATCACCAGTGTGTGAATGGGTGAATGACTGATTGTGTTGTGAAGCACCTTGGGCGGTTGTAGAACCCTAAAAAAGGTGCTATACAAATACAGGCTATTTACAATTTATCATAAACATGCCATATCTTCCATCCATATCCTAAACTTGTCTACTGCCCTCTGTTGGAGGATCTACAGGTGACATGGACCTATTTTATTTCTTAGACTGTATTTTTATATTATTAATTCATATTAAAAGATTTAAAGGGTTAAAGATTAAAAAATGAATGAACTCAACACATTTTTATTGTTGGTGTGATTTTCATAAAAATGAAGTTAGAGATGAGTTTTCACTGGTTTAACACTGTTTTATTTTATTTTGAGATTATTGTCAAACTTTTATTTATGAAATTATTAATAACACATCCCTTTTGGTTTTCAGATTTTTTTTGTTATTGATCTTTAGTGTTTGTTTCAACAACAGTTAGAAACTAAAATTTGCAAATTGTAGACCAAACTGTCAGATAGACAGACAATATTTATTATATTTATTATTATATATTTTATTTCATGAAAACATCTGTTCACTTTGTAGGAATCAAGTCCTTCAAATAAACTACGTTTTCTTGGCTGATTCGAGGCTTTTATCGATGTTTGAATTTTCTGCTCTGAGAAGAATTAAGCTTTTGATAGGGTTCATTTTAATGTAAAATATATGAAATTACTATTATTTTGATTTTAAATACTGATAATACATTTAAATAATTATTTATGACTGAGGGTTATATACCTCATGTTGCTCCTGTATTTTTAGCCTTGTGGCTTCAGTCCGTTGCTTCCCGGGCGTTTCCCTGTTTCTGCTCCATCTAGCACAGGATGTTCAACACACTCCAAGGCACAAATGGACCTAACACTCCATCAGTCTGACTTTGCTCAAAACTGCGCTGGCAGATAATCTAACCTGGACTCAGTTACAGTCTATTGTTTCTGTGAATCGAGTACAAACTTATTGTGTTCTCGCTCCAACTGCAGGAAGCTTTCATCTGATTCTAAAGGTCAAAGGTTGAGGCAGCTGTCTTCAACAGATCAACAACATTTTCTTTAAAAGAGCAGGTCAGCTCAGAACCTATAAAAACAAAATCACCGATCACACATCTAATTAACTGGTTGCTGTGGATGTAAATCCTACGGTTGTTTCAGGTTGTGACATATTTGGGGTTTATTTTCTCTTTGGCTTCAGAGTTCGTATTGATTTATTTTGTTTTCCAGACTAATTAATGCAGCTCTGCTGAAGGCCTGTGTGCTGGGGCATGGTGGAAGAACAGTTATCGATGTGGTTTAGGAATTACTCTGACAGAAAAAAATATATTACAATAATTTTTTTATCTTCTGTTTTTAAATAGCTTTAATGTCAAATGATATGACTTAACTGAAAAAAATATTTCCACTTCAAAAATGTCAGATTGTTTGTTCAAAAAACTATTTTATGATTTCAGGAGTGTTTGTTTATTTTATTACAGGAAGAGTTTTGAATTCATAATTTTATTATTCATTTGACTGAAGTTCATTATCTGTTTGACTTCTTGCACAAATGGTAAATGGCCTGTATGTGATATAGCGTTCTAGAGTTCTGGAACACCCCAAGGTGCTGTACAACAGAATCAGTCACTCACCCATTGCCATCCTGGTGATGATGAGCTACATTGTAGCCACAGCTTCCCTGGGGCACATTGACAGAGACGAGTCTGCCGACACAGGTGAAACCGGTCCCTCCAAACACCACCAGTGTCTTGCCCAAGGACACAATGACAGAGGCTTGAACCTGCAACCTTCCGGTTACAGGGCGAGCACTTAACTTCTGTGCCACTGTCGCAGCACCACACACAAAATGTGTCCAAGGTTTGGGTGTCTGAAGATCAAGTAAGTTTGAAGGAACAAAGAACATTTGTAAATTATTCTAAAACATATATATTTGAAATCTACAGTTTATTTATTACTATCAAATTGTTACATAATTACGTGTTTAAATAAAAAAGATTATTGTTATTATTTTTAATAATATTACATCAAGCTTTAAAGAGGTATTGACTAATTCCCTCATTCATACTTAAATATTTTACTCAGTATTCATTAAAATGGTTGCAATTACTGGTTATTATTATTTATTGTTCATTTAGAAGTGGCAGTATACCATTTCCTGGCACTAGGGAGCAGTACATACATCTCAGGGTTGTTTTACGCCATATTGCAGTGACTGTCACTAGTTTAAAGAAACATTACGGTAATTGTTGTTACCTGTGGAGAAGAAAGCATGTGACCTTGGCACGACTTCTTAGACTCTGATGGTCCTTTAGTTGTTTCCATCGAGAGAATTCAGTGATGATTGTAGTTTTCTGGCACTGTAGTTTCTGGATCTGCTTGGGGTCCTGTGCCTGCCGATGATGTCATCATACTACGGCAATACCACTCGGCCAAAATACATTGCATTTCTTTTCTGATTCTGTTTTTTCACATAAGTTTTAGAAAGAGTTAGTTTGTTATTAAATTCCTGTTTCTTACTACCTAAATGTTTTTGAACTTGGTAACGTAGCTTCCGTAAGTTGTATGTCCTGTCAATCATCTAGTGTGACATCATCGACAGGTGCAGGACCCTGAGCCGGCCAGAAGGAAACATGGCATCTAATATGGTGTCCCCCAAAGACGCTAGACCCGCGCTCTGTGTACTTCAACAATGTTTTTGAAGGATATTTCCAGATCTTAAGTGTAAAAGCTACACATTGTCTCTTTAAGGCTAATTGAAGTCCTGTCCTAAGGGATTTTAAGTTTAAAAAAATATATAAAAAACAAACTAAACAAGATAGAAATTTGCAACAAAAGGATAGAAAACGTAATAGTAACAGTTTGCAATGAGGGTACCTTTATTGACATTACTTATTGCATTATTAAGCATTAATAAACAATTTTAAAAAGTATTAATAACTGCTTCATAATGTTGGTGTTAAGTGATGCAGCAGTAGATCAGGAAGTTGAACAGGTTGTTGAGTAATCCGAAGGTTGCAGGTCCAATCCCAGCACCAGACAGAATATTTTCTGTTGTGTCCTTGGGCAAGACATTTAACCAACTTTGCCTGCTAGTGGTGGTTGGAGGGACTGATGGCGTCTGTGCTCAGCAGCCTCACCTCTGTCTGTGTGCCCAGGGCAGCTGTGGCTACACCGTAGCTCATCACCATGTGTGTGTGAATGGGTGAATGATACACTGTAGTGAAAAGCACTTTGGAGTCCACTGACTCTGAAAGGTGCTATAAAAATGTGGGTCATTTATCATCATTTATTATTATCATTACTAAGTAAGCAGACCCCAGACCTTTGTCCTGACCATAAGAAACACATATTAGTTAATATCGGGAGTGTTAATGAAGGGATTCTTTGTTTATTAATGCTTAATGATGCACTAAATAACATTAATTAAAGGACCTTTATTGTAAAGTGTTACCAACATAATTAATGAAAAAACTACTAATTTTAATTTATTTTTTCTTTTAAATGACTTTACAGACTAAAATGTTGTCTGTGCTCTCTGCACACAATATAAAAATGTTCATACAGATTTAAAGCCATTTGAAAAATGGGATTAAATTAATAATATGTTTAGAATGATGTCTTAGTCTTCTACTGACCAAAAGTCAAAACACAGTGATATTTATTCGATCGTGCAGCAAAAATATAAAAATAAATAAAATAAAAGATTTTTACATTGCTTCAGATAAGCTTGCATAAGTGGGTTCATTTAAACAACGGCTGCTTAAAGCTAATTTATTAACAATAGTCCCTCCCAATTACTAAAAGTCATTTCACACAAACACACAGCAATCGATGTGGAAAGTGGTGGAAAACCAGGACACAGTTGTGTCTGCCTGCAGGCGACCATCATGCTGGCTCCAGTTGGTGTTTACAGTTTCCAGTAACACCAGCAGCAACAGTATCGCCTCCAGCAGGTGGCTGCATTTAGGTCACAATGAGACAGAACCATAAACTGCTGAGTAAAACATTTATATTTATCTATACAGCTGCATGACTCCTTATATTTCTATCATTGAAATAAAGTGTGATTTTTTATCGGTTTATGTGAAGATGTTCTTTTGTTCTGACCGATTCTTCTGTATTGTTCTACCAGAAACAGCAGATGAGGTCATTTTTGGTGTTTAATGAAGCCAAATCTGTAGTTTATAAAGTATTTTTTGTGTTAGATTATAACAAATCTTCATTGAGACGTAGCTTTTGATCCTGTTGGGCCAATCTAGTTACTACTGGGGTTTGGTCCTTTTATGAGTTCATCGTGAAAATCACATCTATGAGGGAAGTCAAGGGAGTGGCGCAAGAAATAAAAAGAAAAGAATAGATACAAGAAAAAGAATAGAAGGAAGGAAATGAGTGAGCAAGTGGGGGAAAGGATGAATAAGTGAACCAGTGACATACAGAGAGTGATAAGAGAGTATGACCTAACAGAGGGGTGGAGGAGGGGTAGGAGTCATAGATCCAGCTTAGTCGTGGCAGCGATCACTCTCCACAGTTTAGGATCCAGACCTTTCCTGGTTCGTCTGCAGGAACAGAGCTTTCTGGACTCTCTCTGCTCTTTTTGAAAACTGGATTATTTCTGCAGACAGTATGTGAATCCCCTGCTGATGATCCTCCAACAGAACCACTTTGTTGGAAAACTCAAACGGAAACTGTTTCAGTCTTCTCTGAACTCAGAAATGTTCATCTATTTTCTCCGCTGACCTTCTCTTAATCCCAGTCAGGACCACATGCTGGATTCTGGACTCTCCTGCTCTCTCAGACATTTAACCACGTAGAGAACATTCTTAGATAATCTCTTGGAGCATAGGAAGGTCTGGATGCTGTGCTGGTTTTTGGTGTGATCAGCATGGTGACCGGGCAGAGACCTGTAGTTGTGTCTGGACGGTCTTTTAGCTCGGAATACCCAGGAAACAGAACACAGAGCCGTGAGATGGGAAAACAAGTGGAGGTGAGATTTTTGTCCAGGAACATTTTTGGTTTCCGGATTAGGAAAGAAGAGACGGGGGTAAACGTCAGCTGCTCTCATCCGCTTGTTGATCTCCTGCTCCATCTTTCCCTCACTCGTGAACAAGATCCCGAGATACTAACAACATACAACAATGAAGAAATAAAATCAGCTTTTGCCACATTTGATTTGCTGAAAGAAATAATACTAATGCTAACTTCATCTGGACAATTTAAGCCCTGAAGTAGTTTGACAGGAATTGTCTACAAGAAGTTACTGATGACAGTTGTTGGTCATCATTCATTGAATAACGATAATAAAGATAAATTAGTTAAATTTCACCTTAAAGATCTAGAAATAAAATACAAGCTGCCTCACCTGCCTGGATTAAGAGGCCCAAATCTTTCTCATAATAAGGTCACATACAATCACACTGAAGGCCACACCTTTGTCCAGACTGGGCTATTGCAACTTTCCGTTTGCTGAACTGAGTAAATTTTTGATTATGATGTGCAGTTAGTTCAGATTAAAGCAGCTAGATTTGTATCTGGACTAAAGAGATGGGAAAACATCTCTATCCTGGCGTCTCCTATCTGCGCTTGCTTCTCGTGAAGCTTCGGACACAAGGCAAGATCTTGGTTCAGGCCTAGAAGGTTCTCACTGGAATAGGTCCTCCATATACTTCTTTCTAAACACTTCCCTTCAAGATCTCTTCGATCAGCTGATCACGGTCTCTTGGTGGTCCTGGGGACAAAACAAACACCAGGGGTGACCTGCCTTCTCTGTTTTTGTCCTAAACTTCAGTATCAATTCTCCCTCTAAGTTAAACTGGCACCATCATTACAGTGTTTTAAAGCTACACTCTTTTTTACAGACTTTCAAAGACTCTTCTCTTGCATTCTGTCAGTGGTGTACTTTGGACCAGTGGCGGATTTAGCTATTTGGGGGCCCAAGGCTAACACAAACATGAGGCCCCCTTACACTACATTTTTGACAATCTTACCTTTAACTGGATTTGCGAAACTCTCCCCTCTTCTGCCTTGAGTTGTTTTCCCTTTTTATTAGTCCTCCTCTTTTTTCCTGTCTTCCTCTCCCTTGGAGTGCCTTCAATATTTGCTCTGCTTTCTTCTTCCTGTCAGTGCTCCTGTGCTTTTGCCTTTGTTTTTTTTTGTTTTTGTTTTGTTTTTTCTATTTTCCATTTTGGTCTATGTTTTCTTTCCTTTAAACATTTTCCATTGTCTTTCCTTTGTGCTTCCTTTGATGTTTACATTGAAAAATTACATCATTTTCAGAAGTGAAGAAAAAAGCTTTTTGAAAGCAAGCTGCTTCTTTCTCTTATTGGAACCACTAGGATAACTCCATTTCATGCTTCATGTTTTGACTACCGCTTCGAGTTTGTTACGAACGCTCCTGCCTCTCTTCTTCTTCTGCTGCTTTCTCTTCTTATTATTATTCGTGGTCTTATTGGCACTTGGCAAAAAACAATTTGGTGCATTACTGCCACCAACTGGATTGGAGTGGAGTGACTATCAATCACTTACTGTTTGTGCATCGAGTCTTAAAGGAATGGTCCATTGTGGCATTGACAAAGGGGTGCCGGGGGGGCCCAGGCGGCCACCGACCTATGCCTAATGGTAAAACCGCCACTGCTTTGGACTACCTTGATTGGTATTATGCAAGTGCTTCATAAATAGATAAATGAATGAAGTCCTGTAGTCCTGCTGACTCAGCAAAAGCAATTAAACTGAAACCTCACAATTGGTTAAATGAGGTTTTAAATGACATCATGGTGAAATTGTTGGTCTTGTGGTGTCCTTCAGGGATCCATACTGGGTCTGATTTAAATTTGTTTATGTCAGATTTTATTAACAGTTTTACCTCTGCTGTATCCTTTAGGAGCCCAGCACCAAGCGCAGTAAGCCCATCTCCAAGGTGACGTCTCTGGTCAACCTGCTGCCGCCCGTCAAGAGCACACCTCTGAAGAGGATAGGTCAGACACTCCAGGTAAACCCAACAAATGTTTCCAGACTTTGAGCAGAATGATCATTGACTTGGATAAATTTGAAAATCACAGGCATATAAAAAGACTGTTTTGTGGAAAAGTAAAATCATCTGTAATTTTTTAATCAGTCTGCACATCAGAAATTCCAGCCGACACACAATCATGATTACTTTTTGAGCATCAAATAACAAATTAAAGCTAAATGTATTAGAAATGTCAATGTTAAAAAATACAACAGCAAGGTAAGAAATGCGTAAATCAACAAGAGTCAAAACCTGAAAAAAAGAAGTGAGAAACATTTTATTCATCAGGAAAATCCCATTTGTTTACATGGAGGGGGCGGGGCCTTAAACCTGTACTATAACCAGGCAAAAGGGGGCACTCTTGCTTCATAAAACTGTTGTAAATAGTGTGTTTAACTTTTCTTCTAAACAGTGTAAAAGTTGCACACTGATCCAAGCTGCAGGAAAGTGTTCTGTGCTTCTGAAGCAAAAAGCTTAAGAAAGTAAAACTATTTGTTGTTTACGTGTTTATTCTCTGTCTTTGCAGCGCTCCATTACTTTTCGTAATGAGAATCGCACAGAGAGAGCCATGCCTCCCCCTCCGCCTCCTCGTCCTCCAACCTCATCCATAATGAAGGCACGTGTTATGTCAGCGACGCTCCCCAACCCTTCCTCCAACATGACTGCATCACGCGTTTCCATAGCAACAGGTCCCGCCTCAAAGCGACGTGACAGCAAGTTGTGGAGCGAGACGTTTGACGTCCGACTGGGAGCAACGCAGTCCCTGAGTCCAAAGGAGATAAAAAGACAGGAGGTAAAAACAAAATCTCCCAACTGCATCTGCATTCAATTGTTTAAATTTAAACATGCCCATCACTTATGAGGTGTCTGAGCCTGAAGAGAAAAGCTGATTATGAAGACTTTAGTTTAAAACCTGGCACATGCAAACTGCCTCTATTCTTGTCCTTTATCATCAGATGATGGATTAAACACTGTTGAACTTTGTTTTGATCGTAGGCAATTTTTGAGTTGACCCAGGGAGAACAAGACCTGGTTGAGGATTTGAGGTTGGCCAAAAAGGTAAACGCTATTAATTTGACCGGCTGAGATGATGTCACTACAAAATTATACTGTTTCAGTACTCTCAAGTGAGTGTTTGAATTTCTGTGTGTGTGTGTGTGTGTGTGTGTGTGTGTGTGTGTGTGTGTGTGTGTGTGTGTGTGTGTGTGTGTGTGTGTGTGTGTGTGTGTGTGTGTGTGTGTGTGTGTTGCAGGCCTATCACGACCCCATGCTGAAGCTGTCCATCATGACCGAGCAGGAGCTGAACCAGATCTTCGGTACTCTGGAGTCACTAATACCGCTGCATGAAGGTGAGAAGAGTAAACATGCATGTCTTTCTGCAGAGCAGCTCTTTGCATCAGTATGAGGGTAAAATTATTGTGCACATCTTCAAGTGGGTAAAGTCTTAATTTTCAGGTATGAGATGATTTTATGTCACGCTTGATACGAGGTAAAATACTTTTAGCACTTAAGTAATCATAAAAATAAATCATGTGATTTTTGCGTGTGTGTGTGTGTGTGTGTGTGTGTGTGTGTGTGTGTGTGTGTGTGTGTGTGTGTGTGTGTGTGTGTGTGTGTGTGTGTGTTTGAAAGAAAAATGCAGTAGTGTTGCTCATTCATGGGAGAGAAAAAAACTGTATTATAGTCTTGGTGAATTTTGAAATCAGAATTATTTATCAGGAATATTCACTGAGTTAGGAAATAAAGTTCACATTTTCAGAAGACTAAACAGTAGTTAGAAAGAATTATAACCCATTAAAACATGAAATTTTCCGTTCTAATTTTTTTGCAGCTGTTTAATGATAAAATATTTGGTCTCTCTCCAGACCTGCTGAGTCAGCTCAGAGATGCCAGAAAACCTGATGGGTCCACAGAGCATGTAGGACACATCCTGGCTGACTGGGTATGTTAATCTGATCAACTACAGTTTTTGAGTTCACATTTAATTTAATTTAATTTTATTTTATTAGAAGTTGTCAGAGACAATTTGTAGTAAGTTTGTTTCCGTGTCCCTGCTACAGCTGCCCTGCCTCTCCTCCTACACATCATACTGCAGTAATCAGGTGAAAGCCAAGGCCTTGCTGGACCAGAAGAAGCAGGATCGACGGGTCCAGGACTTCTTGCAGCGCTGCCTCCAGTCACCTTTCAGCAGGAAATTAGACCTGTGGAACTTCTTGGACATTCCTCGCAGCCGGCTGGTGAAATATCCGCTGCTGCTCAGAGAAATCCTGAAACACACGCCCAACGACCATCCAGATCAGCAGCATCTGGAGGAGGCGGTGAGAAAAAATGTTTTTAACCTTAAGATGAGTTGAACAAAAAGGAATAATTTAGTCATAAATTTTCGTAGACAGGCCCATCGCTGTTAGATGCTAACCGATATGGGAAAATGTTACAGATGCTGATGGTTCAGAACGTTGTAGCGGACATCAACAGGCAGACAGGAGAGTCGGAGTGTCAGTACTACAAGGACCGACTGCTGTACTCAGAGGAAGGACAGAGGGACGAGCTCATCGATCGGACCAGGACCCTCAGCTGTCATGGAGAGCTGAAGAACAACAGAGGACTTGTGAGGAGATTTTTGCATTTTCTACAACTATTTTTAAAGGTGTGGAACACTGAAAAAATATTTTGAATTAATATTTCTGATTATAATCAGTCACTCTGAGTTTTTCATGCAAGCTGAACATGAAAACAGTCTCCTACACCTATCTTCTGCATTACCTTCTGATAGAAAATAGACTCTAGGATTAGAAAAGCCTGACAGATCTACATCAAATGTCACTTAACATTCATGGTCTCACCCATCTTGACTCATGACGGATCAGGCTGTTGTTGGTTTAGAGTCCAGGAAACAGTAGAGAATGTCTTGGCTAACAGAAGCTAACTGTTAGCATTAGCAACTCCACCACACAGCAGAACTCCTCCGGGCTTGTGTTATTTGTGGAGGTAAAACTTCAGAGTTGCGCATCTGAAGCTCTGTGCTATTCTGGCGCTATTCTGGCAATCTGCTAGTTCCTGAAACTGGTGCACCGGGGCTTTGTTTCCCCAGGGTATGACTTACAAGGCATTCATTCCTACTAGAGGTAACTGCAAATGTACTGATTAAATGAGTGTCCCACACCTTCAACACATTTAATCTATGTGACCCAAGGACCTAACATCTTGCAGAGGTTCTGAAACAAATACTCTTCAGAGGTTCATGTTTTATTTTATTATTTTTAAATCAGCAAATTGTAAAACAGAACAGTTAGATGTTTTTTTTCGGCATTATAAATGTTCTGCTGAATCATTTTGTTTAATAGTAATTTATATCCACTGCAATTAGAAAAACGCTCATTTTAAGATAAATTGCATAGAAATATACCTTATAATGTGTGTGGTATACTGCTGGTACCAAAGGTTTTGAGAATTCGAAAAATATAAAATGTCCCGAAGTTTTTATCATCAGTGTTTTTCTGTTTATGACTAAATGTACTCGTTCTCTAAATGTTTGACCCCTGCTGTAAGGTTAGTATATTTTCCACTCATAAATTAAAATTTTTTAATCTGCTGTAAGTTCACGTTACAGACAAGATTTACACGTTTAGGACAAGATTAGAAGACTAAAGGATTTAAATCTGTCATATGTGGAGGTAGATGTTAAGAAACCCTAACATCTATCTGTCTCCTTCTCCAGAAACTCCATGTGTTTCTGTTCCAGGACGTCCTGGTCATCACTAGGTTAGTCTCACTCAACAACCAGCCAGTCAGTTACCAGCTCTGCCGCCAGCCCATCCCCATTCGTCAGCTGGACCTGGAGGACCTACCAGATGGAGAGATGAGGGTGGGGGGGTCGATCAGAGGGGCCTTCAGCAACAATGAGCGAAGTCAGTACCAAGCTGGAGACCACAGTTTCTTTGTTCTGTTGGCGGAGTTAGATTCTTGTTGGGATGCGTTGTGCTGTGGGTCGATATTTTCTCAACTCAAATCATCTCTGATAAAAGCTGTACAAGAATCAGAACCTGGTATCGGCAAGATAAACCATAATTGCTGCATCTTAATTAAATTTAAATGTGCAAACATTTAACTGTGAGATTAATATAGTTTGGCTCTGATGCGGATTCTTGTTGAACAAGCAACTGAAAACCTAAAACACATGTGGGGTATTTATATTTACCAAGATTTTTATTAGAAAGAAATGGGTGAAACTATTAAAAAAGTGACCACAGGAACTGTGGAAAAGCAATCAAAAGTTCTTTGTCTGCACACAACATTTATAGCAGCATTGACAATCTCCTTGTAGAGCTTATGGTGACCTATTGACCCCACATGAATGTAGAAGATCCAGCTAAATCATGTCTGTGCAGCTCTTTCACCACATTACAGTAAAACAGCTATTCTTAAATGAATGCCATGCAGCACAATAATGCACGAATGCACACAGTATTTACAGCAGGAGGGAGTCAGCTGGCATGATGCAAACAAAATCCTTTATTAGGATTAGGATTATTAGGATGTTAATAACCTTCTGTGACTTCCATGGTTTCTGTTTGACTTTTACTTTCAGCCAAGAACTTCTTTCGGGTGTCGTACCGTGCAGGAGGACAGCTGCAGACCCTCTGCTTCCAGGCCAGCGACACCTTCAACAAACAGCAGTGGATCAACTGCATCAGACAGGCCAAAGAAGCAGCAGAGCTGACAGGAGACCAGCATGTGGATGCAGGGCTCAGAGGACAGATAGGGACATGTTTTGAGACAAGTCTCAGTGCGTGCAAAGATTCTGGCCTGGAGATGGAGGCAGGTTTAAGTTTGGAGGAACAGGCAAGTCTGAATGGAGGAGAAGATTTTGGTTTGTTTAAGGAGGACAAAGAGACGGAAGAGGGTAAAACAGGCGCAGAGGTTGAAGATGGTTTATTTGGAGATTCTGGAAAGCGTTTGGCATTAGACAGAATACTAGTGATGGACAGTGAGACAATGCCTACTGCAGTCTGGAAGATGGACGAAGGGGGAGAGACTCTTATCTCAGGTGATGATAATTTCCCTTCTTCTGTCTCCTCATCACCATTTCCTACACAAGAAGAGGGGGCTTTTGTGGAGGAGGAGGAGCAGGAAGAGGAGGAGAATGGTTCCAAAGAGGAAGAACAGGTCAGCATGGACACCGGCGAGTGTGCGGAGCTGACCTATAGGTGCTGAAAACCAGAACTGAATGATGACCCCTGTAACCAAATAATAAACATTTGAAGTTCATAAAACTAGTCACTAAAAATGACTTTTTAAACCTTTTTGAAAATGCTGCTGCTGGACATCTGGCCTTGTGCAGTCATGTTTTTGGAGCAAAAACTCCCTGAGATGTCTATAAAGGTGTGGGTGTTACGTCCAGTAACAGGCTTTTATTCCAGTAAAAGCTGCTTCCTGATTATGATCTGCTCACTGACTCATGTATTCACGTAATGCTTTCCTTTGCAGCATTTCTTTTATTCCCAACAATTAAAAAGAAAAAACATTTTAGGATGCAGCTTCTTGATTTATCAAGTTCCACGTTATTATGACTCAGAAACATGTCTGAACACACTGGAATAAAGTCACTGTAAACCTTAGACTTAAAGCACTATAGGAATCTGAATGCATTTTCTGTTTTGTAATCATTCTTGGTTCGTTGCCATGCAGAACTGAAGCAATTTGCAGTTTATCTTCATTTATGTACAAGCTCTTAAAGAGCAAATCACCCCCAAATAATTTTTTTCTGATAAACTATATAAATGTTTGTCTAATCGTGCTGCAGACACGTGTAGTCAATAAATTTGCACTTCAGTGCTTTTTATTTTAATTTTCTGGCTAAAACTGTCAGTGTTGTGCTGTTGTCAGGTAAAAACTCTTCACTGCATTTGAATTAAAATCTGCATCGCTATTGGCTAGGAGGTACCCTAGAACGTTAGCTGGTACCATATGATGTCACAACGTCGTTGTGAGCCTGTGTGTGTGTATTTGTTAGCAGCTCCGCCCTCTTGGTCTGCCAGGCAACAGCATTTGTTGCATTTTTCAAACAGGAAGTGGGAGTGGAGTAAATACTCTGGTAAGGGGTGACTTGCTCTTTAAGGGAGAAAGCTGTTGTGTATGTACTGTATGTAAAATTGTATATGAGGTAAATGTTCATATGTATTGTGTTTGTTTAACTCAAGACAGTCCTTTCAATTACTGAAGAAACGACAGGATTAAAGCCAGTTTTAAAAATGTAAAAAAGATTTTTGCACATGTCAGAGACACTTACAGTTTTTCTCAGTCGCTTTGGTGCGTTTCTCAGATCAGAATTAAAATTCTCACAACTATTAGTTCAACCTCCACAACATTTAGTCATTTGTGCACATCATAGTAGCAATTTCTCCTTTCTCTGAACAAACTGCAAATGATTTTGGACATGTATCAGTTGCTTTCATACATTTCTCTGCTGTTTTTTGACATTTCCATTTGCTTATGTCATGTCAGTCAAAATGAATTATACTTATGGATGCTGAATAGTCACTCTCAATAAAACTAATAGTCTTACTTTCATTGCTTGAGTCATTAAACACAAAATTGTTGAACTAGTTATCAAATGTCAAATATCAGTCATCTGTCAAGCAAATTCTATACCTTTCTTTATCATTTTTTCCTGGAAATGTCTCCTGAATTGAACAATTGATCACAGGTGAATTTCATCTGTCACTCATGAGGAGGTGAATCCTCGATTGGCAAGCATAAATGAACTGAGCAGGAGCTAGTGTGTACCATTTCTATACTTCTGTATATTTCTCCACTCCAGGAGATACTTTCCTCGCTGCATTGTGAGGGACGACATCCGTTGTGATGTAGATGAAAATATGTGGCCAGACAGACAGAAACGTCTGGATGTGCCAGAATGATTTACTGTACCTGTATGTTACAGTACTGTGCAATACTGAATGTACTGTTACATGTACTGTATATTGTTCACATTTGTGCACAGCTCTACCAAAAGGGTGATTTTTTGTTTACATGTATTCTACAGTAAACAAGTGACTGTAGCATATTTTTCTTTTGCACAATACTGTAGAATTACAAACACTTCTATACAGTAAAAATGTAAAACGTACGTATTCAGTGTCTCAGTTACTCCCAAAACTCCCATAACATCTACAGTAACTTTACTGCACATTTCAAATGGCTGTACAAGTAGGACATAGTGCTGTCTTGAGCATTAGCTGGTGTCACCAAATATTCTTGCAATGGAAAACACTGAAATTATAAACTGTCACAGTGAAAACATGACAAAGCCATTTGACTATCTTGTTCATAAAGATGGTGTCAAGACTTTTCATTTTGATGGCACTGACACTTTCATTGACATGAATACTTGCTTTTGAGGAATGGATTATCAATTTTGAGCCTGTGACGTGCTTTTGCAGGCTATCCACTAGGTTTTGCAGTTTGCACTAATTGTTTTGAGAAATGCACTAACTGCTGTGCAAATGTTAATAGTGTTCTGAGAAACGCACCAAAGCGACTGAGAAAAACTGTAATTCTTCTTCAGAATCACATTTTACTTTGTTGTGTGTAAAATAAAATGAAGATTGGCTCAATTTTGCTGAAACCAAAGAACCAATAAACTGTAAAACAAAGTTGGTCTCTGAAGGGATTTTACTTCTGAAAACAGAAATGTGTCTATGGAAAGAGAGTAAAAAAAGGCTAAAACTAGGATGTCATTAGAACAATAAAGATGATGATAGATAGATAGATAGATAGATAGATAGATAGATAGATAGATAGATAGATAGATAGATAGATAGATAGATAGATAGATAGATAGATAGATAGATAGATAGATAGATAGATAGATAGATAGATAGATAGATAGATAGATAGATAGATAGATAGATAGATAGATAGATAGATAGATAGATAGATAGATAGAGTCACTGACGTTTGATCAGATTTAACTGAAATTATTGTTTATTGTTAAGCAAAAAACTAAATATCATTAAGGGGCTCAGGTTATTGAATAACCAAATAATTAAGGTATGTTGCAAATTTCTTAAATGTTACTTAAATGCTTAACACTTAATAATCTGAAATTAATAAATAAATAAAAGGAAAACTGCCTCCCACAAAAATCTAAATCCTTGCAGTTTTAAATGCACCTACAATATTGTTATTTTTATTTATTTATTTGTGCTTTTTTATGAGTCATTTCACATTTTCTGTACCAGAAATTATCACACAAGTATCTGGTTCTTTACGGAAGAGGATTGGAGCCATTGAAGAGAGAGAGAGAGAGAGAGAGAGAGAGAGAGAGAGAGAGAGAGAGAGAGAGAGAGAGAGAGAGAGAGAGAGAGAGAGAGAGAGAGAGAGAGAGAAACTAAAGAGAATTCAGATTTTTTTCTCAGAGTTCTGACTTTCCCCAAGAATTCTCAGAGTTCTGACTTTCCCCAAGAATTCTAACTTTAATAATCCTGAGGGAAAAAAAGGCAGAATTCTGAAAAGAAACGTCCGAATTCTAGATGAAAGTAAGAATTTTGAGATTAAAGTCAGAATTCTGAGATTATTATTAGAATTATTTTTCTTTTCTTTTCTTTTCTTTTCTTTTCTTTTCTTTTCTTTTCTTTTCTTTTCTTTAATTTAATTTAAATTGGCCCTAATCCTCTTCCGTAGTACGGTGGCTTGTGAATAAACGCGTGTTATACAGGAGTCCAGAAGGTGGCAGTGAAGCAGCGCTTTCCCAAGCAGCAGCAGCCAAATCTCCGTGAAGAAGATTTGCACCTAGGAGCAAATCGGAGGAAATCACGGAGGAAATATGTGGGTCTGCGTCCCCGAGTCGCTGCGGGTTCTGGAGCTAATGGTGGTGTTATCACGGGACTCGAGTCAAGAAACGTTAACGGAGTAACGGACGGTCAAGAAGAGATTCGTTGCTTTGTTGGAGAATCCTGTAATGGACAACGACTTTTCCCGCGGGGTGACATATCGCCAGGCTAACGCTAGCTCACATGCTAACGAAGTGGTCATCTCTACCCGAAAACACCCTACGGCGCACAGACAGAGCTCAGCCACAAAGAGGATGGAGCGGAGAAAGTCGGCACCGCAAGTGGTCCACCAGCGGCATATGCCGAAGGAGCCCAATAAGTTCCACATACCGAGGAAAAACAAAGAACAGAAATGTAGGTTGATCAGTATTTACTAAACAAAATTAAAATCACATGTTTTATTATTAATATTTCTTGAATTACCTGACACCGTAGAGTTGGCTCCCCAGCATCGCTGAGTTCCATTATTGGACAAGGCAGCTCAATTGCTAGCTTAGCAACAAGATACAACGCTACACGTTTGCTATCACTTTTCTCATCTATACAGCCGTGATGATATTTTATAAAATCTTTAGGTGTTTGAAAGTTGTGCATTTCCTTTTTTTATACTGCAGTAAACAATTTTAAATACCGTTAAACAAAAGTCAACGATGCTAAGAGCTAGCATTTAGCAAGTTACAGTTTTTCTCAGTCGCTTTGGTGCGTTTCTCAGAACACTATTAACATTTGCACAGCAGTTAGTGCATTTCTCAAAACAATTAGTGCAAACTGCAAAACCTAGTGGATAGCCTGCAAAATCACGTCACATGCCCAAAATTGATAATCCATTCCTCAAAAGCAAGTATTCATGTCAATGAAACTGTCAGTGCCATCAAAATGAAAAGTCTTGACACCATCTCTATGAACAAGATAGTCAAATGGCTTTGTCATGTTTTCACTATGACAGTTTATAATTTCAGTGTTTTCCATTGCAAGACACCAGAAAATGCTCAAGACAGCACTATGTCCTACTGTTACAGCCATTTGAAATGTGCAGTAAAGTTACTGTAGATGTTATGGGAGATTTGGGAGCAACTGAGACACTGAATACGTACGTTTTACATTTTTACTGTATAGAAGTGTTTGTAATTCTACAGTATTGTGCAAAAGAAAAATATGCTACAGTCACTTGTTTACTGTAGAATACATGTAAACAAAAAATCACCCTTTTGGTAGAGCTGTGCACAAATGTGAACAATGTAACAGTACATACAGTATTGCACAGTACTGTAACATACAGGTACAGTAAATCATTCTGGCACATCCAGACGTTTCTGTCTGTCTGGCCACATATTTTCATCTACATCACAACGGATGTCGTCCCTCGCAATGCAGCGAGGAAAGTATCTCCTGGAGTGGAGAAGTATAGAAATGGTACACACTAGCTCCTGCTCAGTTCATTTATGCTTGCCAATTGAGGATTCACCTCCTCATGAGTGACCGATGAAATTCACCTGTGATCAATCATCAATTGTTCAATTTAGGAGACATTTCCAGAATAAAATGATAAAGAAAGGTATAGAATTTGCTTGACAGATGACTGATATTTGACATTTGATAACTAGTTCAACAATTTTTTGTGTAATGACACAAGCAATGAAAGTAAGACTATTAGTTTTATTGAGAGTGACTATTCAGCATCCATAAGTATAATTCATTTTGACTGACATGACATAAGCAAATGGAAATGTCAAAAAACAGCAGAGAAATGTATGAAAGCAACTGATACATGTCCAAAATCATTTGCAGTTTGTTCAGAGAAAGGAGAAATTGCTACTATGATGTGCACAAATGACTAAATGTTGTGGAGGTTGAACTAATAGTTATGAGAATTTTAATTCTGATCTGAGAAACGCACCAAAGCGACTGAGAAAAACTGTAACGTTAATAACAAGAAGAAGAAAATGTCATTTCTATAGCGCCTCTCAAGATAAAAATCACGAGGCGCTTCACAAAAACAAAAATATAAAAAATTGTAAAAATATAAAAAAGTACTTTAAAAATGTTTTAAAATATATTTAAAATGAGCAAGAATAAGCAATTGCGATTTAAAAGAAAAAATGTTAAGAAAGAGAGAGTGAATAGGAAAGAGGGAAATCAGTGGATCCTGAGGAAGGTGGAATAGGTGGGAGAGCAGAATAAAGAGAGAGTGGTTGAAGAAGGTCAAACAAAAGCCAGCTTGAACAAGTGAGTCTTCAGCTGCTTTTTGAAGGAGACCACTGAGTCCACTGATCTCAGGCTCAGGGGGAGAGAGTTCCAGAGTCTGGGGGCCACAGCAGCAAATGATCTGTCACCTTTGGTCTTTAGCCTGGTGCGCTGCACAACCAGTAGGCTTTGATCACTGGACCTCAGCGACCTGCTGGGGGTGTAGGGACTAACCCCGGCTTTCCACAGGAGCCGTCAGCAGCACGTTACTGCAGCAGCACGTCATAGCTGCTGATAGGAACGGCTGTGGTCAACAGAACCTTTTCCACTGGAGCCGTCGGCAGCCGTCAGCAGCGCGAGTCGGCCGCGTCTCAGGAGCAGCATGTCGCGGCCTTTACACGCCGGTTCTATTTCCTACGCGCGACGCCTCTGAAACGGGTCAAGTTCGACATTTTTGGGGAAGGAAAGACAGGAAATCGGACGCGGAAATGGAGAGAAGCTCCCGAGATTTTCAGAATAAAGAACGTACTGCCTTCCGGTCGCTTTACTTTAAAAAAGGTTACTAACTGTGCGTCCCCGTGAGAAGTTATCACCTAGCTAGCGGTCTCCTTTGTTTTTCAGGTCCGTATTGGCGATTATAAAACGGACAGAACATAAAAACACAAACATTTTGGAGCCATGTTGTAGTTTTCTCCTGCTTGTTGTTGTGTTTACTGACGAAGTCATTCGTGTGACTTCGTGCTCGGTCGGTGACAGCTGCTCCCCTGCTGCTTCGCGTCTCGTGGGAAGGGCCAAGCAGCAGCTTACGCGAGCAAGACGTGCTGCTGCAGTAACGTGCTGCTGACGGCTCCCGTGGAAACCCGGGGTAAGAAGATCACCAATGTAAGATGGTCCTTGTCCATGTAAAGCCCTATAGACCAGAACCAGGATCTTGAAATGAACCCTGGAGTTGACAGGCAGCCAGTGAAGCTGGAGGAGAAGCGGGGTGATGTGGGTGTATTTGGAGGACTTGGTCAGAAGCCGAGCACAGGCATTCTGAACCACCTGTAGACGGTTCAGGGAGGTTTTGCTCAGACACGTGAGAAGAGAGTTACAGTAGTCTAAGCGTGAGGAGATGAAGGTGTGGATAACTGTCTCAAGTTCAGAGCGAGACAGAATGGGACTCAGCTTAGCAATGTTCCTGAGATGGAATAAGGAAGAGCGAACAAGAGAACTGACATGATAATCCAGGGTGAGAGCTGGGTCAAAGGTCACGCCAAGATTCCTGACGGAAGGTTTGGTGTGGGAAGCAAGCTGACCAAGAGAGTCTTTGACTTTGGGAACCAGCTTGTCTGGGGCACAGATGAGGATCTCAATCTTATCTTCATTCAGCTGTAGAAAGCTCCCAGCCATCCAGGTTTTGATAGAGTCTAAGCAGGTGTGTAACAGCTGCAGCTTAGACAGCTCATAGGGCTTAAAGGAGACGTACAGTTGGATGTCATCTGCATAAAGATGGTAGGAGATTCCTTTGAAGGAGCTCAGGATGTGCTGAAGAGGAAGCAGATAGAGGAGGAAGAGTAGAGGCCCCAGCACAGAACCTTGTGGGACACCATGGGTAAGAGAGGTGGTGGAGGACCTAAACTTGGAGGCGGCCACAGAAAAGGAGCGCTCAGAGAGATAAGAGGAGAACAACTCAAGAGCAGATCCTGATAGGCCTACCCAGTCTCTCAGCCTCTCCAGTAGCAGGTGATGGTCAACAGTGTCAAAGGCTGCAGTCAGGTCCAGCAGGACCAGAACAGAACCGTCCCCTGCATCACTGTGGGTCAGAAGGTTATTAGAGACCCTAAGAAGAGCTGTTTCAGTAGAATGACCTCTACGAAAACCTGACCGGAAGCTATCATAGATGTTATGTTCATCAAGAGCAGCTGTGAGTTGTTTAGCCACAACCTTTTCCAAGATCTTGGAGATGAACAGAAGTTTAGAGAGCTTGTATGTAACCACGTAACTCCTATTTTTGTCACTGGGAAGCTGTGGTTTGGGTTTGTTGTGAGATTAAGTCACGTCCTAATGTATTCTTTTTTTAGTTAAGTGTTTTTCAGCTGTATGATGTTTAGTAGTTATATAACCCTCAATATAACTGATCCTCAAAGAGGTTTGTAAGCTGTGGGCTGAAGTCGGGTCACTGTGTTTACATTTCAGACTGGGAAAACGTGAGTGTGCTCACAAGAACTTGAGTTTCATTATTCATCTGCTGTGCTGAAAGCGGTCAAAACGACATTAAAACAAGATGAACAACAATCTGGAATGATGTTATTTTCATTTTGTTGTATTCTTACGGCTATCACAGCAGCTAAATTTTGGGATCAGACTGCTATGATTGTTAGGGGAATAATTTGGGTGTAAAATTTAGTGTTTTAGATTTTTCTGGCAAATAAATCAATGCATAAGAAGCCAATTTATGTTTTTGAGACTAATCAGTAGCTGCTTTGCACGCAATGAAGGATATGCTATTTTTGTGTAGAGCGATGCAGACATGTTTATATCTACTATGAATTTCTACTGGAGTGTAATTGGCATGTGGTGATAAACACTAGTCCTCTTAAGGTTTACATCCTTACTACCAGCAAAGTTGATGCATTTTAATAAGAGACTTGAGTTTTTGAGGTGAGGAAGAAACCCAATGTTCAGCTTTTTATACATCTGGGTTATGATTTAGAACTGATATGTGCTTGTTCTCTGTCCTGATTCTCTTATTTAAAAAAGGATATATAAAATATCATGCTGCAAGTAAACTTTGCCCTCAAAAGAAGATTTTACTGCTGTACTTTGTTGCTTTAAGCACAGTTTTGTCTAAACTTTTCTTTTCATGTTGCCATTCAGGATACTAAAGGCCATTAATTTTGAACAATATTCTTGTTAACTTGTGCGTTTGAAGCAGCAAGTTGCTTTCACACTAAAAGAGACAATCACAAACAAACTAATCTTTGGTTGTGAAAACACCCCACACTAAAACACATGGACATTTGATCCACTTATTTTTAGCTGGGAGTATGACCTTTTGTTAAATTACTGTCATGAATGTGTACAATTGCACAGTTGTCAGCTCTCTGAGGTGTTCATGCCCCAGCTGAGCCCTTAGCACATAAAAGTGTGGCAGCTGCAGGATCTGTAGTCTCCTGAGAATTTGGTGT